AGCCGCCGCAGCAGCAGCAGCCACAGCTGCAGCCGCAGCCGCAGCAGCAGCCACAGCAGCAGCAGAAGCCCCCACGAGCCGTGGGCACTGTGAGCCTGGGCAAGCTGCCCTTGCCCCCCGCCCCCCATGTGTTCTCAGGGGGCTCCACCTCTGCCATCCTGCCTCATTTCCACCATGCATTCAGATAAGTGGTTTTTAAAGTGTATCTTGCTTATCGTGGAAGATGTTTTAAGAAGCATTTTAGACGTCAGTTATAATACAAGGAAAGATTTGGGAAAACGACTAGGAATATGGCTTATTCTGTGATGACTGGCTTGAGATTAGAGAATTCGTGAACTGCATGTATCGTGCCAACCTGTCCTGAGTGTTTATGCTTTGTACCAAATTTAATGGACGCGTGTTGTGTAATCGAGCTGCAACTATTGTCATAACCAACATCTAAAATGATGGCTGCTATATATAAGTGTTTGTCATATGGAGTTTCATTGTAAGCCATGATCGTGATACTGTTAACTAGATGACTTTGTGTGGCACTGCCTAGTATGGGAACTATGGAAAGCTTTGGATGTCTCCAAATGGGGAGAGTTTTTTTCAAAATAAGAAAATAACCTTTATATGGCATATTGTAACTAGGCTGTGTATTTCTGTTCAGGGATTTTTCTATGTTCAGGGTTGGATGTAGTTTAGTTGCTGTGACCGTAGCCAACCTGTAGTTTTGCATAAACAATTTCTTGTGGAGCAGTAGATTTCTCCATTTCAAAAAAGCATTTTAAATGTCGTTTGAATATTTTCCACAAGATGCTGCAATGTGAGCTATTACTTCGTTTATCTTAAAGACTAAACTGGTTGTCAGTTATATCTGACAGAAAAAAAAAAAATCACTGTGTAACCAGGTTAAGTGATAATATAATCCAGGCGTCAGTCAATGGTATTTTGCTGACTTTAATATTGATTATATTTTTAACAGGAATTTACGATAATATTACTGGAATTAAATATATATGTTAAACAAGAATTTTCTTTGCTCTGTCTAGCTTAAACAACTACTCAGCTGCTTAAATTCCTAAGTATTGTTTGTAATCACCAATGAGTAAATGCATTTGTAATTCAGCTTAAGTCATTATTAGCTTTTATTCTGTGGATTACATTTTACAATGTGTAACTATAATCTGTCTCTTGAATCTGGTGTCTGATTAAATGAGTTTTAAAAATGTAAAACCTAACCTTTTTGAAAGCTCTTCTGTCTTTTGTTTGTAGAGGCTTTCTTTTCCATAAATATGTATCGTGCATATAATAAAGTTTTAAAAATCTTGCAATATGGCTTGATTAATTTGTCATATAGCTATACCTGCGTCAGCGTGAACTACATACACTCTAGACAGAAGACACTACCAGGTTCCTATTTGGCTCCCTCATGCCCCCTCCTGGTCATTACTTTGCCCACAGAAATTACTACTCTGACCTCTACTTAGCATCTATTAAAAACTTTACGTTTCTTGAGTGGACTAATTATGACTTAAGGTAGTAGCCTATATATAGTTTCAGTTACATTCACAGCACTACTAACTTATTTCTAAATATCATATAATATTCTAAATCTTTCTATAATGTGCTGTAATTTATTTCTAATGTTTAGGTCAGAATATTAGCCAACGGAATGCAGTCTACACTCAGCTACCATGGATGAGTAGTGTGGTCCAGTATTAATAATGGTGTTTACCGTTCATTTCTTTTTTTTTTTTTTGAGACGGAGTCTCACTTTGTCACCCTTTATACAGCGCTGTGGTATCATTGCCCACAGCAACCTCAAACTCCTGGGCTCACGCAATTCTCTTGCCTTAGCCTCCCAAGTAGCTGGGACTATAGACACCTGCCACTATGCCCAGCTATTTTTTTAGAGATGGGGTCTTTTGCTCAGGCTGGTCTCCAATGTGAGCTCAAGCAATCTAGTCACCTTGGCCTCTCAGGGTGCTAGGATTACAGGTGTGAGCCACCTAGCCACCATTCATTTCTAGAACAAATTAGAAATTTACTTATTCCTTATTGGGATTTCTTTAGAAAGTATTTATGCCCCTTAAATCTGATGCCTGTTTATTTTTTTTTTCCCTCCAAATAGAAAGGAGGTGGGTAGAGAAAGGAAACCATGAGTTTGTTTGCCATCCAAGAAGTCCACTGGCCAAGGGGACGGAGTTCCTAGGATGCCCATGCTCATGGGCTGGACTGTAGCATGTGCAACCAACATAGTGAAGCTTAAACCATGGGACTGCTGTCCTTAAACTATGGGTGAACCAGGAGGGAGGACATGAGATGACAACGTGGTCTAGGTTATTTCATCAGCAGGAACGCACTAGGACGCCTAAGTCCTTCTCATAGCCCCTCTTGCCTCTACGGAGGGGAACAGTCTGCCAGAGCAAGAGGGAAGAAAGTTATAAGAAGCTTCCACAAATACTTTGACAAGGCTAGATACAGTGTTCCATCACTTCCACACAATACAGCATTTGGCCCCCAAAATACATGTGATAAGCATTGCAGATGCGTTTGCTACACGGTAAATGGGGGTAGGCTGGGATTCTCCTTAAATTTGGAACAAACAAGGGGAGGGGGGCTTAATTTTTCCAATTAAGATTTCCTGAGTTTAAGAAAAATTAACTTCTTGGATTACAAAGTGTGAATTAAGCTTTATAAATGAATCTCCAAAAAGAGGTGTATTGCCCCTAATAACTGCAAACAGAAGGAATCGTCAAGTCACTTTCTCAGAAAATAGTAATAAAAACCAACAGGAAAGATATGAATGGGTGACTTCTCATATGATAGATAAATGGCTTGAGACCACTTAGAACGGTGATTTTCAAATGGTGTGCCATGAGAGGATCTTAGGGGTGTTGTGAAAATTTTTATTTATGTATTTTTTTTTACCACTTATGAAATTTTATTTGCATGACACTTTATAAGGGTCCCTGTTGCATTATACATTACCCTAAATAAGAATCGGTTAGCCATCTACATTCACTCTTACTGGATATACTTTTCTCAAATTATACTCCCCAACACTGATACTCCCTGTGACAAGGGAACAATAGTAATTACTTGAAGTGGACTGAAGTTTGATAAAGCATATTTTTCTTTTACTATAAAGATTCATAGGACGTTGAAAGGTATACCTACACACCAAAATCTGAGTCATGGCCTTCTTAAATAGCTTTCTGAATTCTTTCTAGAAATATCCTTTTCTGCATTTTTATTTCCCTCCTCTAGGCAAAATGAAGTCTCTTAATGCAGCTTATCAAAGAGTTATTTCCTGGCAATTGTAAACAAATCCCCTTCCTGAGAGGAACTGTTCAGCCTTTGTAACATGTCATAAAGTATGGAGTTAACTTGTGGTTTAAAAAAATTCATAGGCTATGCATGCCTTTGAAAAGATAACATCCCCGAATGGCACAAACAATGCACGAGTATTTTCTATGCGCAACCTGCCCCTAGAAAATTAAGTAGCTTTATTCCCACTCCCCATTCAGTAATTTCTCACCAAATCTGCTTTTTCCTGTTGTCGTAAGTGGACAAACAAAACTCCACATTTATAGCCACGCACATAGATCAACGTCTAACCTAGTGATTTCCAGCTGGTATGTCGGGAGAGGATTTTTAGGGGCGTCAAGAAAACTTTTAAAGATCATTAGTTAAATTATTTTCTAAGAAGTTAAAAGCACAGTAAGATTAAGTATATTCTTTCTTTTTTTTTTTTTTTAAATCAACATCATTTACGTGTGCCACAGAAGTTTAACTATAGATTCCAGTGTGCCATGAGATTAGAAAAAGGTTGAAGAACCCTGAAGAGCATTCTTCCCACGGGGTGGAAGGGTTTGGGGAGGCAGCTGTGCTTGCCACTCTACATCCATGCACTGTGAATCAGAACAGAAGGACGTTTTTGCAACCTTTTCGCTTGCATTTCAATATCCCCTCAGTAACATAGTCTATGGTACTGGTGCATATTTGAGACAATTCTACATGGTATGCAGACAAACACTTAAAATAAGTGTAGTAACTAGTTACAGTTAATATTTAGTAGATATTTATTTTCATAGCAAAACTAGTCTTTCATAGCTATTCTATAAAATGAAGCTAGTTACAACAAACAATCTTCTTAGTCCATAAATAACGCTAGTACTCCAAGGTACTAAAAGGTTCAAACGTCAAAGCAACAAGATCTTTAAAAAGCTACTAAAGGTCCAACTGAAAGAAAAAAAGCCTTTAAGTGAAACTTTTCTCACTCTGTCACCCAGGCTAGAGTGGCGTGGTGTCATGAGAGCTCACAGCAACCTCAAACTCTGGGCTCAAGCCATCCTCCTGCTTCAGACTCCCAAGTAGCTGGGACCACAGGCATCCACTATGCCCAGCTAATTTTTTCTATTTTTAGCAGAGATGGGGTCTCACTCTTGCTCAAGCTGATCTTGAACTCCTGAGCTCAGGCAATCCACCTACCTCAGCTTCCCAGAGTGCAAAGATTACAGGCGTGAGCCCCCGCACTGACCCAAGTGAATCTTTAAAGCAAGCATTATCACTACAGGTTGATGTATTGAAAGTTTTTTGTTCTTGTTTTTGTTTAATTTTGAAGGAAGTAAATAAGGAGAAAATTTGAAGCTAGTTTTACTTATTCTAAGCGAGGCCTCAAGAGGAATCACGGTGTAGAAACAGACATCACATCTACTGTCCCTTCCCTGGAGATGCCATTCATTCTCAAATATACAACTATCCAGGCTGATGAGTTTCAGGGAGCCAGTCTGAAAGCAGAAAGAAAAGGCATTTACTTTAGAACCTCGTGGTTTTGACATTGAGAATGTTTAAATAGGCCTCTTTAGATTTGTAATTGTTTTACAAACAGCTCACAGTCTCAGGGAATTATCATTTTGTGGGTAATGTGTTTGGAAAAAGGAACAAGGCAGTAGCCTTCCAGGTCAAAGTGAAGAATAATTCTCCCTTTCTATTAATCATGAATCAAAATCTTAATATCCTTTCGAACTACATGTTTAACAGGAGAATAAGTTTCAAGAACACACATTTCGTTAACCCAACTCAGGGTTTGCCAAAATTTCTCTTTGGTTTGCCTGCTGTGGACACATCACTCAAAGGTTTATTACGCGTATCTTGCACATTAGTTGATCAGCAACAACATCTGGATTAGAGGTTATTTTTCTCCCTTACCTGGCCTCTAGGAGTTAATCTTTTTTAGAAGATTTACTAAATCCTTGTCTGGGTTTTGCTCCAGAAGCAGGGTCCATAGCTAATCCTTTGCAAACACAAACAGATTTGTTATTATGTCAAAGTGGAACATTACCAAGACAAAAATGATTGTGAAATCCCCACATTGGATTCAAAACACTATCTTCCTTTTTGGGGGGGTGGGGCTGATGTAGTGACAGACAAACACCCACTCTCTGACCTGGGTCAAATAATAAGGAAAAAAGGGACTGTCTCAGGTGCCTTCTGGCCTCTGCTCCCAACCCTTCATTTACCCATAGGCTTTGGACGGCCACCTCAGGTGTCCTACCATGGATAACACGATGACTCTTAGCCTCCCTCCCCACTGCTACCTTGGGTTTCAAAATACACCATGACATTTTGCACCTTCTCAATTCTTCACAAGCTTTCGTTCAAAAAGGAGTTTTACAAGCCTTGTGGAAACCTTAGATACCTACCCTCCCTGGGTGACTGATAAGACAATGGTCTAGTTCTACAAACAGTACTCTTTCCTTGGTGCTCAGGGCACCATCAGGTATAGAGGAGTAGATGTTTATGGATTTGGGCATATTACACCACAGTCTAGTTTTGACTACATAGTATAGGATAGGATTTTCAGAGAAGTCCTTTTTTATAAAAATGAACAAGTCTTCTCTGTCCTAGA